TGATACCTCAACATGCATGGTGCAATCTCTGTTTACATACCGACACGGGACTAGCGCTTGTGTTCATGTTTGCTCACGAGCACAGAAAGGGGGGGAGGGGCAGGGGTGTTTTTTTTTCTTTTTTCACTGTACCTTTTATTGTTATCACAGGAAATGTAAATATCACCTGTGATAACAATAGGCAGTGACAGGTACGCTTTTCTAAGAAATCTGGGGTCTATTAGACTCTAAATATCTCCTCTGTCCTTAAAGCATCTGATCGCACCAGGATCGGTGTGATCTGATGCTTTCCCAATTTACAAATGGCGCTGTTAAAGTCCATCGAAATGGAAATGATGAAATGCTCGTAACTTCCAGTTTCTTAGACCATAGAGATGATTGGAGCCATTCTGATCAGCTCTATGGTCAGTCAGCAGAACTTCCAGCTGCATTCTCAGATTCCCCTGTGGGATAGGAGAGCTCAAGAAAAATGTGGAAGGCGGCAGAGGGTGAATGTCCCTTCCCGCTGCTTGTAAAAATTATTCAGCAGATAATTGGCCACTAGGATTGCTTTTACATGAAAGCCAACCACCAGCTGAAAAAAAAAATGATACCAGGATGATGCCTGTAGTTGCAGGCATCATCCTGGTAAAACCATTCAAAGTCAGTGACATACCAGTACCTTGCTGGTCCATGTTGGGCATATATATAACAGCAGAACATGGGCATATGATGAATCGGGTCTGTGGACCAATATGACTACAATTCATTCTTTTTTGTAATGCCCATAATGAGCGTTAGACCAAAAAGTTTTTAATAGGGTGATAGGTTTCCATGTGAATTGTCTGGCAAGAGCTAAATTTGGGTGGGCAGCGATGTATTGTTGTGCATATAAATTGCTTTGTCCCACCACCAGTTGATACAAATCTTCTGTGAAAAACAGTGGAGGTGCTAAACACTAGTGCTGACAGCGAAAGGGGCTGATCCTGCTAACACTGCGTTTTTGGGGACACTATACAAAGGAGGCACTAGTATAGTTCTGTTCATGTTCATTATATTGATCCATACAAACACTATACTAGTAATGGGGTTGATCAGTGACCTATACCGTGAGTACGATAGTGTGCGTGCAATCTAACACTAGCTGGGAGGGGCGCTAATGGACCCTGACGGTATCTGATGTTGCTAGTGGCAGGAATACAGTGAAAAATTCAATAAACTGACACTATACTAATGGCACTGGCTGGGTAACAGGGTGATCAAAGGGTTAATAGGGGCGATGAAAGGGTTAAATGTACTAATCGTGTGTGTGTGTGTAAAATGTAGAGCTTTTACTCGGTGCAGTGCTCTTTCTTCTCTCCCTGGACCAACCGGGTGAGGGGCAGTGGGAGGCGCAGGCGTGTTCACACCCCAAAATAGGAAGCGATGTAAGATTACGTTGCTTTGTCCAAAGCCACCACTCGCCCACAAAATGTGATACAACAATTTTACACTGCAACTGTCTCACAGAGACGTCCAGGCCATCCACGGAAGTTAACACCTCTACAGGAGCGTCTTTTGATGAGAAGGGTTGAAGAAAATCGCCATGCAAGTTCACTGCAGTTAGCTAAAGAAATAGAAAGCCAAACTGGGGTGATTGTTTCCCATGACACAATACGGTGTACACTGCAGAGGAAATGACATGCATGGGTGTCTTCCATGAAGGAAGCCTCTCCTAAAGCCCATGCACAAAAAAAGCCCGCCTAGAATTTGCCAGGGCCCATGCTGAAAAAGAAGGTTACTGGGACTCTGTACTCTGCAGTGATGAAATCAAGATACAGTAAATGTTTTTGGAACTGATGGCTTCAAAACTGTATGACGTAGCAAAAGCAAGGAGTACAAAGAAAAATGCATGGTTCCAACAGTGAAATATGGTGGTGGCAGTGTCCTTCTGTGCTGCTGCATGAGTGCTGCTGCATGAGTGCTGCTGGTGTCGCGGAGCTGCATTTCATTGATGGTATCATGAATTTGCACATGTACTGCTCTATATTGAAAGAAGATGCTACCATCACTCCGTACCCTTGGTCGTCGTGCACTTTTCCAACCCGACAATTATCCAAAACACACATCTAAGACCACTGTTGCATTTCTGAGAAAGAACAGGGTGAAAGTGATTCAGTGGCCAAGTATATCTCCTGATCTCGAACACCTATGGGGAATTTCTGAAGAGACAAGTTGACCATCACTCTCCATCCCACATCCAGGCTCTAAAAGAAGTTGTTCTTGAAGAATGGAAAAGGATAGATGTTGCAATATGTTGCCAACTTGTTCATTCCATGCCTAGAAGACTTGGTGCTGTCCTTACAAATCATGGTGGTCATACAAAATACTAGATGTAGTAGTTTTTGTTGTGGGGTGTATTCATTTTTGCATCAACTAATTTGAGTAAAACTGAAGACTTTGTAATCTAAGTTATATTATTAACCTTACTTTCATGTAATGAGCTAAACAAATGTTTTATAAAACTCAGTTTTGTACAACATTTTGGAAATTGTTCTTGTGTTCATTGAGATATTGATTAAAATCATACTTTTCTAAAGGGGAGTACTTGTTTATGCTGAACACTGTACATGTCAAATGATCGGTATCTGTAATTGCATTTGCCTCTTTTAATAAAAAATATATACATTTAAATTTAACAACCTATAAGAAAATCACAATTAGTGTGTGTCTTCCCCACCATCCTCCTAAACCCCACTATAGGCCCATTAGGCCTGGTTCACACCAATGCAGTGTGCTTTTTGTCTGGTTTTCAGTGTTTGTTGCAGTGCATTTTGCATTTGTTTCACATGCGTTTTTTCCATGTTTTGCTTTTTTTTGGGGGGGCAAACTTGTTGCTGGGCAGATTAAAAATGCAAAAAACATACAAAAACACACTACATGCCTTTTCTGCATTGAACTCAATTGAACCAAAACCCCTGCTTTTTGTGTTTAAGAAAAGTTCCTGACCCTTTCCAAAAATGCAGCGGCTCAAAAATAAAAAATAGACGTGAATATTGACTGTAGTGAGTTTCTGCAAAAAGCCCTAAAAATGAAAAGAGAGAAAAAAAAACCACAACACATTATGTGAACCAGGCCTTACTATTATGAGTTGCTTTAACCACTTTCCATCCACCCACCTACAATGTACTACAGACAGGCGTCAGCTACAGGACCAGTGATGTACCTGTATGGCGCTGGTGCTGTACCAACACAGCAGGTGCGCAACCCCCCTCCCACAGACACAACAGAATGCAAATCCCGGTAATCGGAACCCGATAATCTATGCAATCACATGATCACAACAACAAAGCTATTATGAATCAATCTGATTCATAACAGGTTTGCATCTGTTCCTGGTGAGCTGTGATTGGCCCACAGCTCTCACATGGTAAATGGGGCCAATCACAGCATCCTGTACCATGTTACAAGCTGGAGCCAATCACAGATCACTGTATTTTAAACTGTCATGAACTTAACCCATTCATGTCAGTTCAAATCAAGCATTGCATTGTAGGAACAATAATCTTTATTGCTCCTGCAATGCAAAGTGTAAAAAAAAAAATCCCTGATCACCCCCCCAGAGTAGTACAATGTTGCTGTGGTAAGATTGTACTACTCTGATTTTTTTTTTTTTTTTTTTTTTTTCCAAAATAGTTGAAAATAATGGTTTTTTTAAAAAAAGAAATAAAATTAAATTCTCTCTATATTTTTAACCACTTGTCCTCCAGAGGATTTACCCCCCTTCCTGACCAGGCAATTTTTTGCGATACGGCGCTGTGTTACTTTAACCACTTCCCGACCACCCTATAGCAGAAATACTGATACAGGGCAGTACGGGTGTGCAAAATCACATATATATATATATACACACACACACACACACACGTGATTTGCTCTTCCGAGGGCCAGGGGGGAGTGCGCACGCTTCTGCCGACCCGCGGGTGCTGTGACTTGATCCCCCAGGGATCAATCATCTGATTTAGGTCAGTGATGGTTGGCCTAAGTCAGATGATCAATCCCTGTCCTATCAGGGTTCTTTCTGTACCTGTGTTTACAGTTATACAGGTACAACAACTGACGGCATCTCTCTCTGGGCACATTCCGTTCCAGAAAGAGCATAGTAAACACACAGTGAGTAAAAGCAGCACACTTTTACAGTTTAGGAAACATTTAACCCCTTGATCGCCCCCCCCCCCAATTAATCCCTTCACTGCCCTGTGACCAGTGTCATTAGTACAGATTTTTTGCCGATTACTGGCGCTGGTGACTTAAGATAGTGTTAGCGTCAGTTCGCGCCCCTCCCAGATAGCTCATTAGTACACCAGTAATCACATTTAACCCCTTGATTGACAGAAACACGCTCACATACACAATAAACCTCCATTGCTAGCATAGTGTCTGAATGGATCAATATCTTTGATCAGATCAGCACTATACCAGCGTTCACATTAGTATAGCATCCCCAAAAACGCACCATTAGCCGGATCAGCCCCAGCACCAGCCAACACCTACACTTACACCCCCTTCTCCCCCAGGAAGTGCAGTGTCAGTAGGTCACTGTCACTTGATACATTGCACACAAAACCGCAGTGTTTGCAGAATCAGGCCTGATCTCTGTTAGCACTTGCAGGTAAATTTTTTGTAGCGTTTCAAGCAGTCCCTGACAGCCAGGCACTCTTTCCTGTGAGCCACACTAGGTACCTATAAATTTAGAGGCCAAAATGTCCAACAAAAGATACTCTAGTGAAGAGGACTACAGGATTCTGAGCATGTCAGATGAGAGCGAAGGGGAAGACTCACTGACAGAATTCAGTTCAGAATGCGAACCTGTAGACAGCAGCGGCACCCTGACAGATAGTTCAGACTATGCTAAGATCAGCATTACCCGACCCCATTCCCAGGTTGCTGAGATGTTCTAAAAGCATGATAACTCTCATATGTAGCAGAGTGCCAGTACTAGTGCCAATCTACATTTTGGTGAACTGGAGAGCACCAGCGGCCTAGTACATCCTGGTCTTTCACATACCAGCACTGCAGTATGACTTGGTGACATGGCGAATCCCATAAGTGCAGTACATGCTGGTGCGGGTGGTGAGCACAAGTATTGTCCCGCAGCCACCAAGAATTCGCACACAGGCCCGTAGAGCCCCTAGTATCCTTCTGGATGTGCTTGCAAATCCCAATTGGCAGCCCACAAATTCTGCAGCACACATACTTCCCACATTCACTGACCAACCTGGAATTCAGGTGGAAACAGCAAATTTAAATACCCCCCTTGATGTTTTTTGGAGCTGTTTTTCACAGAAGATCTGTATGCATTGATTGTGGATCAAAGCAATTTATATGCACAATTTATCGCCGCCAACCCAAATTCAAACCTTGAAAGACCATTCGCATGGACCTGCAGGGTGGAGGCGGCTGCCTGTACCTTTCCCGTCATCTAATCCATCGGTTATCTTCACTGTCTGCCCAGGCAGCTGGAGTTGGTGGGCGGGGCTGGGGGTGTGGCTGCCTCTCCACTCCTCACACAGACACCTGCACGCAGGAAGAGAAGTGGATACAGCAGCCAATCCCTGGGAAGTCTTCAACCAAAATCTGTACTGTAAGTGACTGAGCACACTGTCACAACATACAGCCCCAACCTGCCACTATATTGCATTAACCTGTCACTATACTGCCCTAACCTTTCACTATACTGCCATTAAACTGCCACTAAACTTCCCCAGCCTGCCACTATACTGCCCTAGATTGCCATTTTACTGCTCTAACCTTCCACTAATCTGCCATTAAACTTCCCCAGCCTGCCACTATACTGCCCTAGATTGCCATTTTACTGCTCTAATCTTCCACTAATTCTGCCATTAAACGTTCCCAACCTGCCACTATACTGCTCTAACCAGCCACTATACCTCCCCAGCCTGTAACTATACTGCCCTGGCTTACCACTATACTTCTCTAATCTGCCACTATACTGCCCTAGATTGGCATTTTACTTCCCTAACCTTCCACCATACTGTCCTAACCTGCCATTATACTGCACTAGTATAACCACGTCTTTTATATGTGTGATTAAAGTATAGCATTAGGTTAGTGATATGCTGCTTTCAAAACCTCCCCTGTTTTAAATGAATGCCTCATCTCTAATTTAAGTACGTTCTTCATCGACAGTGACTTTCTGGGCGCATAGCAAAAAATGGTGAACATGGAAGTGTTTTTTAAAATGTTGGCAACTATGCTGAACTACTTCTCCTATCTCTGCACTACACAGCCTGGGCAAAGGCAGCAGAGCTCCTGCTCCCCACACAGCACATAGCTGAGATCAGATTCCTTTACATACAACCACAATCTGTACAATGTGTAGCTGGCTGTTATGTTGCAGTTCTAACCTGTGAAATTCCATCATCGGAATGGTAGCGCAGCTGCAGGAGCCAGCTACACACTGTGCAGATCAAGGTTGTGTGTAAGGGAATCCAATCTCGGCTATGTGTAATGTGTGGCGAGAAGATATGCTGCCTATGCCCAGCCTGTGTGCAGTGCAGGGATGGGAAAACGAGTTCTGCTGTGTACCCTGCCAGCAGTGACATCTAACCTCTGCTGAGTTCTCCCTACAGTGACCCCTGACCTCTACCTTTTGCCTTGTCAGCAGGGACTCCTATCTTCTGCCCTACCAGCAATGACCTCTGTCTTCCTTCCGGCTGACCCATTTTTTGCCCTGTGGACTCCTGTACACTGCTCTACAAGCTAATGGCCTATGTTCCCTGCCCTACAAGTGATGTCCCTATCCTCTGTCCTGGTGACCCCCTGTACACTGCCGTGCTGACCTCCCATGCAGTATGTAAACAGCAGTTGCACCATGTATGTGAGGTATCGGCGCAAACATCAGAATAAGGGCAGTAATTCTAGCACTAGACCTCTGTAAATCTAAAATGGTATCTTGTAAAGGCTTTGAAACACGTTGCCTATGGATATTAAAAATGTATGCAGTTTGTCGCCATTGCACGGGGCATGCCGTTTTAAAGCATGTCATGTTTGGTATCTATTTACTTGGCATAACATCTTTTGTACTATCCTGGTATTTTAGGGCCTCCAAAACTGTGGTAGGATATGAGGAAATATGCCCTTTGAAAGCCTGGAGGTGGTCATTGGATATTTGGTGGCCTGTATGTAGCTAGGCTGCCAAAAAAGTCTCACATGTGGTATCCCCATACTCAGTAGAAATAGCAGAATGTATTTTGGGGTGTAATTCCACATATACCCATGGCTTGTGTGGGCAATATATCATTTAAGTGACAACTATGACAAAAACGTTTTTTTTTTTTTTAAACACATTTTCCAAAAACTTGTGGGGAGAAAAAAAACAAAAAACCTTCCATGGACTCAATATGCCTCTCAGCAAGTAGCTTAGGGTGTCTACTTTCTGAAAAGGGGTCATTTAGGGGTGTTTGTACTGTCCTGATATTTTAGCACCTCAAGAAATGTAATAAGCTGTCAGAAAGTAAAAGCTGTGTAAATTCCATTATCTATACCATAGTTTGTAGATGCTATAACTTTCACACAAAGTCCCAACAACATGTAGCAGAATATCTTCTAGATTGTAAGCTCGAAAGAGCAGGGCCCTCGATCCCCTCATGTTTTGCATTGTATTGGTATTGTTCTGTCACATGTTCTGTCCCCCTTTGTAATGTACAGCGCTGAGTGAACTATTGGCGCTTTATAAATACTGTATAATAATAATAATAATAATATCTTGGCCTAATTTATGGCAAATCCTCAGAAGGGCAAATGGTTAACTGACAATTGCGCAGTCATGCAACGCTGCACCCAAATGAAATGTACGTCCTCTTTTTTTTTTTTCCCCACAAATAGAGATTTCTGTCGCATTTGATCGACTGTGCGATTATTTTTCCGCTAACAAAAAAAGGCTGACAATTTTGAAGAGAAAAAAATATTTATTTTTGACTTTATGCTATAAAACATGTCCAGTAAAAAAAATTTAGAAAATCAAATTTAGTCATAAATTTAGGCCCAAATTTATTTTGCGACATGTCTTTGCTAAGAAAAAAAAATAAATCCCAATACGTGTAAATTAATTGCTTTACGTGGAAGTTATAGTGTCTACAAATGGCAGTATATATATTGGATTTTTTTTGCTTTACTATTAATGGCGTCAATCAGCGACTTAGTGGCAGGCATTCTGACACTGAGGGGAACTGACTTCGTGTCACTGACATCAATACAATGATCAGTGCTAATAAAAAGCACTGACACTGTACTAATGGCACTGGACAGGAAGGGGTTAACATGTGGGGGAAATCCAAGGGTTAAGTGTGTGCGCTGTGTGAGTGCTTTACACTGTAAGCACACCGCTTTGTATGGCTCACTATGCAGAGCCATACAAAGCATTGTGTAGGAGCTGACAGGGGAGAGATCTGTTGTTTATACAGAAGTCTCTCCCCTGTTTGAGATACTTAGCGATCACCGGGTGCCGGCAAGAAATCACCAGTCAGGACCCGGTGATTGACAGCTGAGATTGCGAATGGCAGCGCGGGTATGGCACATGTACCCCCTACCCTGCAAAATCATCACACACACACACACACACACACACACACACGTGTATATACACACACGTGATTTTGCACACCCATGCCACCCTGTAGCAGTATTTCTGCTATTGGGCGGTGCGGAAGGGGTTAAGCAGCAGCTCTGGGCAAAGCGACATACCCTTAACATCACTTTCTGTTTCCGGGTGTGCGTGCATATGCTGCCCCCTATGCTGGTCCAGGGAGAGAAGAGAACACCTCACTGAGTAAAAGCACTACATTTTTCACACGCTAGATTAGCACATTTAACACTTTGATCGCCCTATTAACCCTTTGATCACCCTGTCACCCAGCCAGTGCCATTAGTACAGTGTCAGTATATAGAATTTTTCACTGATCACTGTATTACTGCCACAAGCAACATTAGATAGCATCAGGGTCTGTAAGCGCCCCTCCCAGCCAGGGTCAGCTAGAGTCAGATTGCCCCCACACTATTGCACTCATGCTATAGGTGGCCAAACACTGCCATTACTAGTATAGTGTTTGTATGGATCAATATATTGATCATGTAGAGAACTACACTAGTGCCTCCTCAGTATAGTGTTCCCAAAAATGCAGTGTTAGCAGGATCAGCCCCAGTCACTGCCAGCACTAGCGTTTAGCCCCTCCACTGTTTATCACGGATGATTTATTTCAATTGATTGTGGGCCACAGCAATTAATACGCACAATATATGGCAATCCACCCAAATTCAGCTCTTGCCAGAAAATTCACATGGAAAACTATCAGTTTCCAAATTTAAAACTTTTTTGGGCCTAACCCTCAACATGGGCATTACAAAAAATAATGAATTGTAATTATGTTGGTGCACAGACCCGATTCATCATATGCCGGTGTTCTCTGCTATTATACAGTCAGGTCCATAAATATTGGGACATGGACACAATTCTAACATTTTTGGCTCTATACACCTCCACAATGGATTTGAAATGAATCGAACACAGTATGCTTTAACTTCAGACTGTCAGCTTTAATTTGAGGGTATTTACATCCAAATCAGGTGAACGGTGTAGGAATTACAACAGTTTGCATATGTGCCTCCCACTTGTTAAGGGACCAAAAGTAATGGGACAGAATAATAATCATAAATCAAACTTTCACTTTTTAATACTTGGTTGCAAATCCTTTGCAGTCAATTATAGCCTGAAGTCTGGAACGCATAGACATCACCAGACGCTGGGTTTCATCCCTGGTGATGCTCTGCCAGGCCTCTACTGCAACTGTCTTCAGTTCCTGCTTGTTCTTGGGTCATTTTCCCTTCAGTTTTGTCTTCAGCAAGTGAAATGCGTGCTCAATCGGATTCAGGTCAGGTGATTGACTTGGCCATTGCATAACATTCCACTTCTTTCCCTTAAAAAACTCTTTGGTTGCTTTTGCAGTATGCTTTGGGTCATTGTCCATCTGCACTGTGAAGCGGCGTCCAATGAGTTGTGAAGCATTTGGCTGAATATGAGCAGATAATATTGCCCGAAACACTTCAGAATTCATCCTGCTGCTTTTGTCAGCAGTCACATCATCAATAAATACAAGAGAACCAGTTCCATTGGCAGCCATACATGCCCGCGCCATGACACTACCACCACCATGCTTCACTGATGAGGTGGAATGCTTTGGATCATGAGCAGTTCCTTTCCTTCTCCATACTCTTCTCTTCCCATCACTCTGGTACAAGTTGATCTTGGTCTCATCTGTCCATAGGATGTTGTTCCAGAACTGTGAAGGCTTTTTTAGATGTCGTTTGGCAAACTCTAATCTGGCCTTCCTGTTTTTGAGGCTCACCAATGGTTTCCATCTTGTGGTGAACCCTCTGTATTCACTCTGGTGAAGTCTTCTCTTGATTGTTGACTTTGACACACATACACCTACCTCCTGGAGAATGTTCTTGATCTGGCCAACTGTTGTGAAGGGTGTTTTCTTCACCAGGGAAAGAATTCTTCGCTCATCCACCACAGTTGTTTTCCGTGGTCTTCCGGGTCTTTTGGTGTTGCTGAGCTCACCGGTGCGTTCCTTCTTTTTAAGAATGTTCCAAACAGTTGTTTTGGCCACGACTAATGTTTTTGCTCTCTCTGATGGGTTTTGTTTTGTTTTTTCAGCCTAATGATGGCTTGCTTCACTGATAGTGACAGCTCTTTGGATCTCATCTTGAGAGTTGTCAGCAACAGATTCCAAATGCAAATAGCACACATGAAATGAACTCTGGACCTTTTACCTGCTCATTGTAATTGGGATAATGAGGGAATAACACACACCTGGCCATGGAACAGCGAGAAGCCATATGTCCCATTACTTTTGGTCCCTTAAAAGTGGGAGGCACATATGCAAACTGTTGTAATTCCTACACCGTTCACCTGATTTGGATGTAAATACCCTCAAATTAAAGCTGACAGTCTGAAGTTAAAGCACATCTTGTTTGTTTCATTTCAAATCCATTGTGGTGGTGTATAGAGCCAAAAATGTTAGAATTGTGTTGACGTCCCAATATTTATGGACCTGACTGTATATACACTATATTGCCAAAAGTATTGGGACACCTGACTTTACACACACATGAACTTTAAATCGCATCCCAGTCTTAGTCCATAGGGTTCAATATTGAGTTGACCCACCCTTTGCAGCTATAACAGCTTCAACTCTTCTGGGAAGGCTGTCCACAAGGTTTAGGAGTGTGTCAGTGGGAATGTTTGACCATTCTTCCAGAAGCGCATTTGTGAGGTCAGACACTGATGTCGGACCAGAAGGCCTGGCTCGCAGTCTCCGCTCTAATTCATCCCAAAGGTGTTCATCAGGTTGAGGTCAAGACCCTGGGATGGAGGAACTTGACTGGACTGCACAATCCATGTCTTTATAGACCTTGCTTTGTGCACTGGTGCGCAGTCATGTTGGAACAGGAAGGAGCCATCCCCAAACTGTTCCCACAAAGTTGAGAGCATGAAATTGTCCAAAATGTCTTGGTATGCTGACACCTTAAAGGATAAGTTCACCTTTGGAACAGGTTACAAAGTTTCACCCGTTTTTAGGGTTCCCATAGCCACAGCACAACACCCCCCTTCCCTTTGACAGATAGTTCGGGAAGACTTCTCCCCGTACTGACAAATTTGAAAACCGCACAGCGTACAGGGCTCTGCCCACATCATTCATTCACAGACGTCTGACTGTGAATGCCTTAGCGGCTGCAGGCATGTAGTTTTCAATGAACTACCACGGCGCTGTGGAGCACTGTGGTAGTTCACTGAAGCTTCCTGTCAGAATATCTGCTTGCTCATACACCCCGTACAGCAAGCAGATATTCTGACAGGTCTGCAGGAGACCTGCATGGCATCAGTGATATACTGAACACTGGTGGAATGCTTTCCAGACTCCTGTAGACAAAAATAATAAATGCACATTTTTTTCACCTGCAATAAAAAAAAAAAAAAAAAAAAAAAAAAAGTGCATTATTATTTTTGGTCTATGGTGACCTTATCCTTTAAGAGTCCCCTTCACTGGTACTAAGGGGCCAAGCCCATCCCCTGAACAACCACCCCACACTATAATCCCCCCTCTACCAAACTTCACACGATGCAGTCAGGCAAGTTCTGTTCTCCTTGCAATTGCCAAACTCAGACACGTCCATTGGTTTGCCAGAGAGAAGCGTGATTCGTCACTCCAGAGAACACGTCTCCATTGCTCCAGAGTCCAGTGGCGGCATGCTTTACACCACTGCATCCGACGCTTTGCATTGCACTTAGTGATGGAAGGATTGGATGCAACTGCTCAGCCATGGAAACCCATTCCATGAAGCTCTCTATGCACAGTTGTGCTAATCTGAAGGCCACACGAAGTTTGGAGGTCTTTAGTTATTGACTCTGAAGACAGTTGGCAACTTCTTCACACTGTGCGCTTCAGCATGCTCTGGCCCCACTCTGTCATTTTATGTGGCCTACCACTTCGTGGCTGAGTTGCTGTTGTTCCCAGTTGCTTCCATTTTTGTTACAATACCACTAACAGCTGACCGTGGAATATTTAGTGGCAAAGAAATTCCACAGATGGACTTATTGCCTAGGTGGCAACCTATCACGGTACCACGCTTGAATTCTGAGCTCCTGAGGAGCGACCCATTCTTTCACAAATGTTTGTAGAAGCAGTCTGCATGCCTAGGTGCTTGATTATATACATCTGTGGCCATGGAGGTGATTGAATCCAATGAGTATAACACACCTGGATACAGTGTTCCAAAGCAGTTGTTGGTTTTACCAACACATGATACAGAAACCCTTAGCTAGACACCAATCTAATTGCAGAAATAAAAATGAAAGACACCACAAATGTAATAAAATGTAATTTATTGACTTCTTGCTGAACATCAAGATTCTACAAAAGACAGGATGAACACATTCTTGCCCATGCAGTGAAATGCACTTAATGTTTTGCAAAGCCAAGTGACCATCCTGAGGACTGAGCAAATACTCATAAGGCAGCCCATTCACTCTCCAGGGACCAGCAACATCACTGCTGAGGCACCCAGTGCCTTAGGAAAACAGCTGTATTCAGGAACATTAGCCCAGTCTTCAAAACTACCATTCTGGCCAGTGGGGGCAGCCACACATACATTTTATTCTAAAGAAACAGTTCACTGAAGCTGTGGAGGAGAGAAACATAAGTAAGGTTCCCAAGCCATTTCCACCTTTGTGTGTCAGCCTGACTGACTGGAATAGGGCACTTTAAAACTCTAGGCACAGTAGAAGTATTTGACAGAAGAGCCGAAAATGCAAGGTACCCCCCCCCACCCGCATTCTTCACCCAAACCCTCTAATTTTACACTTCAAAGTGCACTTTTTATTTTCCTGAAACTCAGCTGTAGGGCTCTGAAATGAATGCTTAATGGGCGATATCCAACACCCAATGTGTCAACTTAACCTTAAGCTGTTCACATTTGCAAGGGATTTTTCCAGGATCTTTGGAGAGACTATATGTTGTATAGCTCTGAATGTTTTCAAACATTTAAAATGACTAGACCATTACCTTCACTTAAGACTAACTGCCAGCTAGAGAAAGTGATGGCCATTTTATAACAACATACAACTTTACATGTACACCTAGTGGGAGAATGAAGCCCAGAAATATAATGTGCCTCGTGTCTCCGTTATGAGCCTAAAAACTTGTACATGGAGAAATGTGGGCTGCCATTACCAATCTTAACTAGTTATCTGCCATACTTCCTGAACAGATTCAACATAAACCATAAGTATGCAGATCAGGCACTTGGCTCAGTACTCCAAGACACTGACATGGCACCAGCATGTAGCAATTAAAGCCTGGACTAGAAATAGCTGCCAACATATATCTCAAGACAAGCTTTCTTAAAGGATGTTTACTACCACCACTTTAGTCCACAAAATAGCTGCCATCACTAATAATGATAGCAGCTATTCTGTAGGCTAAGACCATCAGTGTACATGTTCGATACATACAAGTTCATCAGATATGTTTGGAATATAAAACACTAAAACACAAAAAAAAACACAAAGACAAACTACAAAATTATAAATGCCACAAAATATTTGGAAAAATGTCCACATTTTTAGTAAGTGGGTCTACCTGAAAGTGCGAGAGTCTCAGATTCCTACCAACAAGCACCACAGCACATCAGTGGCCTGTGTGCACATTCAGCAGGTAATACTGCAGTTTAAAAATCTACCCTACATTTCTTTTTAATACACAGTGGCATTTGAACATCTTCATTGAAAGTTATACTAGTGCATTTTCATAAGTGAGTTAGCAATTCTAGGAGGTCCCTGTTGGGTAAGTTAAT